ATGTATTACTGTAATATTCGGGTGAGACAAAGTCAATTAAAAAATAAACCCGTCGTTCAATCAAATAAATTCATACACCTTTGAGCTTTTTTAATGAAAAAAAAAACACAACGATATTAATCTTTATCATGATATTTTATCATAATAAATTTCCATGAAAACTATTTTCTCTCGACGGATACGTCAGCGCAACAAAAGACACTTTGTGTATAACAACAATTACTTGATTTATATTTACTCAAAATACGACATTAATACTAATTATATTATTATAATATTATATAAAACGAAATATTGATTTATTATCTCATTTTTTTTTAGAATAAAAAAAAAAAAGTTAAAATGGGAAAATAATTTTGAAAACCGTAAGATGAGCTGATATCTACTTTATTTCAATTAAGACGTAACTTTTCAACTGAAAAACTATCTGAGTTAGTTTTGTGATGTCCGAAAAAAACACATAGTTTTTCCAGTTCTCAATTTATTTGTTTTCAAGGTAAAATGTTATAACTTGTTTTAAAAGTAGTTCTACTTTCGATGCATGGTAATTGGTAAGATTAGGTTAGGATAGGTTTAAAAATCAATCATACTCGCTAAACCAAAAAAAAACAACAAAGGGATAGTTAAACTTATCTCGTTCTGCCTCAATGACAAAAAATTGAAAATGTTGACATTGTTGATCGATTCAATTTGAAAAAAGTTTATGCAACTTGCCCAGTTATTGGTTATTGTGAGACAAGCCAAGTATTACAATATTGCAATATGACGACAATGAAGTCTATTAAAATATTGTTTATTTATCCGACAGGGTAAGTTCAAGAGCGTCCACGTTACAGTTGTCTGACGACGGTAATATATCTTGTGATTTAAGTGGTTTTAATATCTCGTTCTAGATCTTTTTTCGTCGATTTCATAACAGATTGCTCGATTGCAAGAATACGTTTGAACTATTGTGAAAGTCTTTAAATCTTTATTTTCATCCGGAATCGTATCGCAAAGAGTTTGGTTTTAAGACGGTCATTCCTAACCGTCCATAATATTATAAGAAAAAATAATAAATAAAATACAAGACAATACATAAAAATGCACAGATTAAAATACAAACACCGTCATATGATTGCATCCACGCTGTAGTTTATAATTCCGTAGAATAAATGTTCCATAATCCGCTCAAGTACATTTTATCCTACTCATTACAATAAAAAAAAAAAAAATAATAACGTACTCGGTATTTTGACTTTATCTTAATAAAAAAATATACAAATGAGGCGATCAACGTTTACTTAACGAGTGACAATCCCATCATATGGTAAAAAGTCATATGGTAAAAAAAAAAAACTTTCAAAAACATTAGCTTAAACGGTTGAAAGTACTTAACAGGGTACCTTTACGTTTGCGTTATGTATTGGCGATGGCTGTAACGACCCTTCGCAGAGTTACTGAACAAATAATCTAATAGCCGGCAAACACTATTAAAAATCTGAGGGTTGCACAAGGTTTGTTCGTATGTTACTGTTTTTCTTTTTTGTAAACTCAAACTGTTTGGTTAGGATCCCTTTTTTTTTCGATACTGTTAATAAATCATAACTCGCGTTATAGTTGTAAAAGTAATTTTACCTAATGTAAACCGAACGCAAAAAACTTTTACCGAACATGTTTATTTCGGTGAAAACAAATACAACCATTTCACGAACCAAAAATGATGAATTCCCTTTACTCAAATTAAATTCCTAACATAATATATATATATTTTTAGTTCGGAAGTTTTCCTTTTAACGCTTTTTGTTTTTTTGCAATTTTTTTTTGTATATTTTGGATTTTCAATCGGCCCACGTGCGTTTTTTTTTTTTGACAAACGGATATTACTTTTTTATAAGTCTTAATACATTTATACTAATTCAATATTAGTATTAGTCTTTCCGCCGAAAATAGGCAATTAGCACGGTTCGATAAAATACTGCAATACAGTCGTTAAGGTCATACCATTATTAATACAAAATTGAAATCATTGATGAAATGTACATATTATAATACTATATTATGATCTGTCTTCCTTTATTCCTATTTGATCTCTTTTTTATAATGCCAACCCAATAAGGTAGGTTATATAGACTAATCTATAAGTGGATAAGTAGTATTTAAGTAACATGGTTTTCTATTACTGATACAGGATTATGCCCACGCGACCCTTATAATTATTGACCTAAAGGAATTTCATTAAATTCTAAATAAGAAAAAAAAATTGGCCATTTGACTTTTAAATAATAAATCAGAACAAGATAGGTGTAATGTATTCTAACGCGTGGAAAATATACAATAATTATTATGTTCATTTTAAGATTTCTTTTCATTGAAAACGCATCCGTATCTAAGTGATCATTTTAAAGGTAAATGCATATTTAATTCAAAATTGTTATGTTTGTATTTTTTTTTATTTGGCGCTGTAGCGGTTAAAAGTAAAATATGACAAATAGCCAGGAAAATATCTTTTATGGGTACCATTTTTTTTACCATGGAGAATATTAAATTACATATTTATATGCAAATCAAATAAGTACATGTTTGATAGTAAACAGGATGTTTTTCAGAAATCTTTGACTTTGTACGTGACCGAAAGCATTATTATTATTATTATCGACATCATTATTTCGATTTATCATTATAATTTTTATTAAAAATGTATGAAAAATATAGGAATTTCATTTTTTTTAAAAATATGATTCCATTCGAACATCACATATTGGAAACTCTACACCTTTGGATACTTTTTTCATTCTTTAGTTCAAATTTTACAATTAAAATGAATAGCTGTTTTTAATGTACTATCATTTAACAGCTCCTTCCTTCTGAAAAAAATAAAAAAGTTGATTTTCGACGAACCTGACTAACCAATCGTTCATAATCGTTAGAAGTCGGAAGTTGGCTTTTGGTTTTTTCCTAAGTAAACAAAAAGAGCTAACTTTAGTATTCCAACATCAGATTCGGATTCAGAGACTCAAATTACCTATGAATTGTCAGTCTGGTCGTCGGAAAACCTATATTTTTTTTTTGTTGGGTTGTGTTATATTTATTGGGTTTGTATCATTTTCAGTGAACAACATTGATAATATTATGTTCTTCATTTTATTAATATGCTTTTATTCCACTAGGATTTTTTTATACTTTTTTTAATAGTAAGCCTACGGATTAAAATAAACGGGTTATTATATTACATATATTGTATATTCTCTCATATCGTTTTAAAAACGCCATAAAATAATTTATTTGTCTATACGTGATATAAAACTAGAACGGTATGAATAAAAAAAAACTAAATACTAATTTCCCTTTTTGGTTTATCAACTACTATACCTACTCATAATGTTATACAATTGTCGAGGGTAGTAGACGAGCAATTGTGCCGGTTCAGAACGAAGAACCTTTATAAGCTTTTAGTTTGAATTAGAAATATTCCCGTTCTGCGTGCGTTTGCGAATTTCGGTTCACATTAAATTATTGTGTATTAAAATTTATAACGATCGTTAAGCATGTAATTTAGCTTAACCAAACATGTCACACCGTATATAGCGTTAACGTTGTATTGTGTGCGCTCGGTGTCGCACTTTGCCCGGATTACAATATAACCAACATGTATATTTATTACATATTATCATGTAGAATACAATTATGCGGTAAAGAACACCCCATTTGGTATGGTGCAACTATTATTACATAAGTTAAATTGTCTCGTTGCGAATTGGGCCGTTTATTAATAACAGTTTTCAACGATTACCCTACGTGGTAGTACGGTCCTATTAATATAGGTAGGTACTACTTGTGTTTGAAAAAAATACACATATTATTGTACATTACAATGTTTGACTAGAATTAATTTTTGTCTATACAGCACAATCTGGGTCCAATTTGAAACACAAAGCATAATTTGCGACACAAGTTTTAACGACATGCCCTTAGGAACTTAACACAATAATAAAGGGTCGACCGGGCAAATTAGATGTATATTACTTAATGTTAAGCAGTCTACTCCAGTACCTAGAGTTCAGAGCTCTTGCCGGAGTGGCTAAATTTTTATACTATACATCTGAAAATTATAATATTTTCCACACTCGAAAATAATATGTTTAGATATCTTTTCGACTTACTCATTTACATGTTAGAAAGGTGTACATATTTTATCTCGTGTCCATACCTGTTGTTTGTACATATAATAATAGTACAAACCCAAATAATATAACTATAATAGTTAATTCTTAAGCATTTTAATAAACATTTCAAAATTAATAGCATGCAACAATAATTAAATTATCATTAATTGCTAAAGCTTTTGACAATTTTTTTATGGAAAAATTATAATTCCTAAACCAATAGCCTGGAAAAGGCCTTAATTTCATAAAGTCTCTTATTATTTAAAAACCGTGTTTTTGATTTGAACATTTATAGTTGTCAGTAGACATTGAACATAATATGGTTAATAATATTATTCTACTACTAGTAAAATTAAATTAGAACCCTACAACTATTATATTCGCAAAATCAAGAAATTAACCCACCCTTTACTGCATGATTTTTTTTTCATTATTTGTATATACGCTTTAGAGTTTTAGTTTTTTTCATTAATAACTTCCTTAACTGCATGTTTTTTTTTTGTTTGATAAAATATGCGCTTTAAATGTACTTACTTAATACTACTTAAAAAAATGTAAAAACAAATTTTGTTTAGTTTCAGTTTCGCGGAAAACGCCAAATTTTAAATTGGTCCAATTAGGAAACATTGTACAGTGAACGGTTAAGCGCGAATAACTGAACTTTTTTGAAAGGATCGTTGTCCACCACATTTATACCAATAAAAAAACGCATATGCCTTTATTTTTCTAAAAAAATTTCCAGACTCTATCTACGATAAAAACGGTTGTATTTTTACGGTTTGAGCATTATAAAAAAAAATACAACAAATTATCCTGAGAGTAAGTATAAAACATTATAATATGGTAAATTTTTACCTTTTGGCGGGCAGCCGGTGGACGCCGCGTGGACCTTGTCGTCTCGCGCCCGGGTGGACGGTGGACGCTGGCCGTGCCGCGAGTTGTTGGATCGGATGGAGATTTGTTTTTTTAAACGACTTGAAATTTAATCGCGATATTTATTTTTTTTTTTTTTACGAAAAGATGACTTTATTTTTAAAATTTTTTTATAACGCTAAAAATGCGGTTTGCCCAAAAAAACGATCGCGGCCAAACATGTGCCGGTTCGTGTACACGCGGACGGTGGACCAGCGGCACGGGGCGTGCTGTGAGAGACGACCGCCGGCGTAGGGTGCGGGGCCGAAACACTGAGGTTTAGTGATAGCGCCCGCGATGGGGTTTTCCCGTTTTATACTCTTATCCACCGGCGGCGGCGGCGATTATTTTAACGGTTTGTATGTAACGGCAGAGCGCCGACGGTGGCGGTGCCGGCAATCGATAGACGGCGCATGTGTGTGTCCACCTCTCCACCGCCGGTCTGCCCGCCTGAATTTTCCGCCACCGTCTCCTTAGCCTCCTTCTTCACGTGGGCAGTCATTATACTTATGCGTATATACATATACATATGTATTATATTATATTGTATTTATTACACTCGCACACCGCGGACGTCTGACCCTGCTGCTCGACGGCGCGACATCTTTCTTCTCCTTTGCGCGCACTTGGAGTTTCTTCAATCGCCCATGTCTTCCACTCCCTTGCCCGCCACCCTCCCACCAATCACCATGTCCTCTGGTCTCGATTTCAAGGGGGGGAAAAATGATCGAAAATGGATTTTGTTAACTAAACATACATATTATAATTGTTAATGCACGGTAAGAATCCATTTGAAGCCGTAATATTTAAACGATTATTACTAATATTTGAGTTTTTTTTTAAAAATATATTAATACATTTTTAATATCACCGAAAATAATACTTTTATATTTAATTTTTTTTATTAATTTGAGTTCAAAATAATTCTAAATCATTGATAAATAGTCTTACATCATCTTTGGGTGTTGGGTAGACTTTAAAAAAAAAATTATACTTTTATAGTTATTAGTTGGGACGCATTTCATATATTTTTAAAAAAATTAACCCCATCCCTTATATGTTAAAACCGTACGTAAAACTTAAGTTTTTGGAAATGGTAACGTATATATTTGATTAACTTTTTAAATTAAGAATAATTTGCTTCACTTGTCGACAATCAGTTTTGGATAATTAGTTTCAAAGTTATTAAAGTTTAAAATTTAGGAGCCGGGGAGGGTGAAGATATTTTTATAAGAGCGCATAAATCAACCGCACTTCCCCTCCCGTCGTAACTTTTAAACTTTAATAAACGTGTGTTTAGAAAATTATTAGGCCTAGTTTTTATTTAAATTTCATCAGTTAATCAAATTGAATTCCGTTAAACAAAACGCTGTTACAAATTTGTTGCTTCTATGCGGAGCTGAGAGGTAATTGGTTTAACTATGAAGCGCACTTCTGACAGCCAACCGATTGTTAGATATATGTGTATTGCAAATATTAGGAACTTGTACGTTAATTATATTAATTCTTTATCTTTAAAACCTAACCTAACACCTCAAATAGCAACCGTCTTTACAGTTTTTTTTTATATCAACCCTAAAACTCAGATGACGACTTTTTTTCGAAGCCGCAACTGCCAAAGGGTCAAATGAATTTCAAATTTATCGTCCTTTCAACGGTCATCACCACGTTTATCTAATGAAAGTAGTGTATTACCTGTGCTCGGTTTCCCTTATAGACATCTCTTAAGTAACTTGACGAAGGATAGATACTGAGAATTTATTGCTAACTATTTTCTTTGAAAATAGTCGAATTACTTCGAATCCGGTGTGGGATATTCTTTAGATATAATACTATCGACAAACATTGATATCAGTGTGAACTGCAGCGTAATAATATTTTTTAAACTACCAAAATGTAAAAACTCACCCAGAAATAATTGTTCATATTATATTTTATATATAACGCTCCGGGCTCGTTAACAATGTTTTTTTTTTGTTTATTACTATATTTGTATAATGGTAAAACGCGTTAAACCAGTACTTGGTACCACAGCTGACGTGGGTTTTCGTCGAACCCAATCCGATTAGCGGTTATTATGGCTGTAAATTGGAATTCCCCGCAGACGATTAATCCCAGTGCTTAAGAATATAATCTATTTTAATAACGCTCTAACGGCAGCTTCTCGGAAAGACTTTGCACAGCTCGAGTTCATTAAAGTCACATTCGTTTTACATTACACGCTCATGGTGGATCGTGTGATTAAAACCAGAAATCGTTCAGTAATATAGAATATGCTAAACACTAAATTTTTCGTTTAATATTGATTAATATTAATCAATAGGATTTTATTATAGCTTTGAATTTTCTTTTCGCGAAGCGCGTTACACGTTAAAGGTGTTGCTAAATCTTCTAAATTACTCTCCCGAAACGTACACTTTTTGCACGCATCAGCTATTTTGGCTCTCAACAACAGAATTATCCTAATGTTTATCAAACATAACGTTTATACTTCTTTATATGAGATCCATCCACCTATTCGGTTCGCCAACGTTGTGAGATTGGCAGGTATATATATATATCTATATTACAAAGAATACTGCGTTCTCAGTGCATAGTGCTCGTCTAATAAGAAATTCCACGCGAGTACCTAATATTTTTTTTCCCGGTATCCAAGTTCCATCGATATATTATATAGATTTGAAAGTTTTCTCATCGTTTAATATCATGACTTACCACACACACACATATATTGATATATATATATATATATATATTTTGTGTGTTTCCTCAAGAGTCCGTTGGTAGATAAAAATCTACCGCCTTTTTCTTTTCTATTATTCTGTCGACCGACCGAATTGAAAACTTTATTTTCCCGTCAGATTACCGGCAAAACATACCTACATATTATAGATATTCCGGCAAATTTTCAAACGCAAAATGAGTTAGTTTTGTGAAACTATTAGGATAAGTCACGTACCTATAGCGTGCAATATTACTAAGTCGTCGGACTGTGATGTTTTCGGTTTGCAAGGCAAGATAGGTACTCTAATGATATTTATGTATAACGGACGAACCTATACCTACCCAAGACGGTTTTCGTAACTCAAAAGACAGCCGAATAAAAGCAAATCGTTTTTATTTTATTTTATTAACTATCTAAGGCCTGTACACAAACTAGGACAACGGTATCTTTTACTGTTCATTGATCACTGTTTTTAATTGTTATTGGCACGGACATAAATGCCTTATTAACGTTTCAAAATACTATGTTGAATTCTACGTTTTCCTACATTGAAGTAGAAAGTGTAACGTGTCTCCTAATTAAGCCACCAATGACCGTTTAAAACTACAGGAATACTTTGCCAAAGTGATGAGAACGGACTTTAGTAATTTACTAGTGAGGCAGTATTGTACATCTTCAACTGATACCACTGGAATAGTCTCAACGCAAATTGCACGCGAACTTTACCACGCTATTAATTATCACGGCAAGTAGAATTATAATATATTATTATTGTTATCTCGGCCACAACCGTTAGGATGGTGTTTTAAGTAAAATATAATATATGTACCGATGCATTAATATTGCCTACACGGAGCGCCAGCCATCTATTAACAATGTACATATTATTAAGACTTTATGACCTTTCTTCGGTTGAGAACTTGAGAGCGTTACGACTTCCACGTTAAACGAGTCGTCTTTAATGTTTTCCACCTGCACCGTTTAGAAGTAATAGTAAACAAAATAAGCAATAAACTTAAATTGCTGTTACTCGTTTTGGCCGCGCATTTCCAAACATTAACTGAAAAATGAGAGAGTCCGGAGATGTCTTGCTGTGGCCAAGACGGTCGCACACTACTTAGGCCGCACGTCTGATGTTATTTAATTTGTCTTGTTCCCAACGGTCGTGCTGGCTACCGAGAACAACAGCTCTTGTTATTATCAAACCCACGTTTATTTTTTGCAGCAGTGCTATACATATATTGTTCTAATGCTGTCATAAAAACATACAAAAATAATGTTTAACCTGTCACGGCGTAGCTGACTACATACACGTCCTATAGTATACAGGATGATTCGATTATTATGCCTAAAACAATTATTGTCTCTTAAACAATTCAAAAAAATTTCAAATATTTCCTATTTGAAATTATTACAACGGATTTAACAGTCTAGGCATGTTGTAGACAGCTTATAAAGGACCAATTGGTTCGAATAATTTACATTTATTTAAGAATTAAATTTATTTAAATAACAAACAAATTGGTTCCAAATTCGAAGAAAGTAAAATTGAATACAGGAAGATCCATAAAAAGATTTAGTTACACAGGTTAGAAGACCAACGAATTCGATTCCTACGAGACTAGTGATGCCGCCTATAAATCTAGTATTGGAGAGTAATCAATGGTGCAGATAAGAAAAAAAACTCAGAGTTTTCAATTCTCAAAACCGCTATAAATCATATTATATTGTATGAATAATATATCTGTAATAATAACAATTGATAATACTATACAGGGTGTTCCATTCGTAAGACACTCATTTTCTCTGAAAATAATTATTATTTTGTAGTTTTCCTTTTAGGACACATGACGTTAGCTTATGTTATTTTACAATATTCGACGAAATTCAAATGTTTATCATTTTTGGTAATTTCTAGAGCTTTATTAACTTTAGAAACATAAAACGTCACGTTTATATTTTATTAAATTAATAAATCAAAACAGGTTGCTGAAATGTTTGACTAGTCAATAACCAGCTTTAATTTATTACTTCTATAGCATATAAAGCTTAAAGTTCAGGACTGGGGTCTGGAGTAGGGTTGGGTTAATATTTATTATATTTTTCGGGCTTTCTACTTAAACGAATTCCACCTCCCGTCCTAAATTGTAAGCATTATTTAATTTTAATACTAATTATTCAAAACTAGTTCAGTCATAATTTTCAAAAAAGCTTAGCTTATGATAATATAATTTATTTTTAAATTTTAAAACTTGACAGAGCTCTAGAATTTACGGGAAAAACTGAAATTTTTAAAATTATATAATAGTATAAAAATAACATAAATAAAAATGTATTAGAAAAGAAAATTTCAATTACTAAATTTTTGGGATAAGTTATAACAAGCTGTTAATTTTCATTCACTCTGGAAGTCGCCATACTTAAAGCCGGAAAGGCCAAAAAAAAATATATCAATTAATGTAGCTCCTATGTTGGGTGGCATAAAAATCTGACAAATTTAATTGTTCACCAAAATATAACTGTA